CTAACTAACTAACTAACTAGTGTAATAATATATAATGATATACGATCGTTTTACTATTATAAGAAAATATTTAATTTCGTCACATTTCCCTCCTTAAAAAGCGAGGTCCTCCGAAGCATTAAATGAGTTTCTCATATCCCAGGTAACGAAGTTTAGACTGGTCTGGGTATATGGTAAGAACTTGTTATTGTAGTCTTCATTGGTAAGACCGTTCAAAAAGTGTAGGGATATTTTCTGAGTTCGGTATATTTGTTCTGGGTTTCTTTTGAATATCTCCAGAACTCGTTTGGCTCCTCGGTACAATCGCCGTTCACACCTGAGGCCGTTACTCTCCACGTATTCCAGCTACTTAGCTCGGCCATTTTCGATTTTTAGCAATTTGCCTAGATAGTATGAATTTGCTAATAATCGAATGCGATGTTTGTCTTTCATGGCTTCTTGACACTTATAAACTACTTTACTTAGAGCCGTCTCCCAAAGGTCGTTTGTGTTGTAAGGTGGTAAGAATCTTAAAGGAGTCTGTTTCTCAAGCGAGTAGTAATCGATGACATTTTCAACGAGGTGGTTACGAGCTGATTGTTGCCTGGTCACGTGTGAGCGGGTCATTCTTTTTAATGATCATTGATTATCTGACAGTGGCTATGTTTTACTTTGAGTTCTTTTCCTTTTTTTTTTTTTTTTTTTTTTTGACTTTAATTTTTGTGGGTCGCTTCTTTCGTTCTCTTCTTTATATTTTGAAGCCACTTTTCATTTATTAGTAATTATTTTTCTTCTTTCATACCATGATTGGCTCCCATAGTGGTCATTCAAAATATAGTTTAAGGCGATCTGTATTAACCGGCCTTCTCAAATTTTATCGGAATTGGTGGTATGAAGCTTATAGACGCCTGGTGCTGTTAGGTCGTGGATATAATAGGGACCTTTCCATTTTTCTCGAAACTTGTCCCCATGCATCTTAGCATCTGCAGATCTGTAAAGCAGTACCTTATCCCCGATATGGAACTTTGTATCCTTTACTTGCTTGTCGTATCTCTTTTTTTGTTTCTTTTGGCCTAGTTTGATATTTTTGCTTGCTTCCATTTGTACTTGTTGTAATCTTTCTGTAATATAGTCAATGTGGCTTTGAACTTGTAGGTCGTATGGGTGGTCTGGGTTGTCTTTTTGGTTACCTTCTTGCAGTTCTATGGGCAGTATGGCTTCCTGTCTATACAACAATTGGAAAGGTGTATATTTTGTCGTGGCCTAGGGCACCGTTTGGTAAGCAAATAGGGCAGCTTGTATGAATGAATCCCAGGACTCTTCGTAGTCGCAGACATATTTGGCAAGGGTGTTACAGAGTGTCTTATTGAACCGCTCTGTAAGTCCATTCGTCTGGGGATAGTAGGCTGAAGCTAACCTATGCCGGACTCCCATTAATTGACATAGGGCGTCGACTACTTCATTGCAAAAGGGGTACCTTGGTTGGATAAGAGTTCTTTTGGGCAACTATGATGAGTGATAATATCTTCGTATATGAACTGAGCAATTGTCATAGCCTTCATATTTGGTATGGCCCTAGCTTCTGACCATTTAGTAAGGTATTCAGTGGTCACAATGATGTATCGGTTTTCTTTTGGAGTGATTTTGAGAGGTCCTATGATATTTATCCCAACACAATTGAAGGGAGCACCCACAGATATGGGATGTAATAATTCGTTCTTTCTTGCATGCCCTTGTCTTTGGCAAGTGTCACATGTCTGAATGTATTGGATTATACTTTCATATATTCTGGGCCAGTAAAACTGATCTCTGGCCTTGTTGTAGGTTCCTGTTATTCCAAAGTGTCCGGCAAGAACATCTGTATAGAGGTTATTATGCAAAATGGTTTCTAATTCGTAAGTTTGAATCACCTTGAGGGGAGTAGATTGAGTATCCTTTTTATTATTTCTTTTATATAATTGTTGATTTATTTGTATAAATTGACTTGCTTTTTGCTTAAATTGTTTTTGTTGGGTTGTAGTTAAGTGCAGGAGTGCCAAAAGTGTTGTTAGATAAGCTAAAATGTCCGAGTATTGTTTGGGGTCTATTTTTTTTTGTAAATTTAATAGTGCAATTTTGTTATTAGAAGGATTCAAGACATCTGTCTTAATTAATTTTTTTTTTTTTTTTTTTGTATGTATATGAACGTCTACTTATTATTTTAATTTGCTTTCCCTTATGGTGGTTCAAAAGGATTCTTGACAGGGCGTCGACGTTGGAGTGGACACGGCCTTTCCGGTGCATGACCTTATAGGGGTAATCAGCAATCCTAGCGATCCATCGATATATCCTTTTATTTGGGTTGGGTTGATTAAGTAACCATTGGAGAGCTGAATGGTCAGTAACTAATTCAAAAAAACGCATATATATATATGGCCTAAAATACTCCATTCCCCAAATGGCTGCTAAGCATTCTATTTCCGTAGGTGAGTAGTTGACTTCGGCAGGACCCAAGGTCCTACTAGTATAGGCTATGATGTGCTCATAGTTATCTATATCCTTCTGAGCCAATATGGCACCTAGACCTTGATATGAGGCATCAGTATAAAGGATGAAAAGTTAATCAAAATCCGGATATTGGAGGATGGGTGCTATTGTCAGTCTTTCCTTAAGTAAGTCCATTACTTGTTGACATGCCTGGGTCCAAATAAAAGGTGTGTTTTTCTTTAGGAGTCTATTTAAGAGCTCAACTATCCTAGCGAAGTTAGCAATGAAGTGTCTGTAGTTTGATGATAGGCCTATAAAACTGCATATCTCAGTGAAGTTCCTAGGAGTAGGAAAATTTTGCACCTTGTTAATTTTTGCGGGGTCGGGTATTACACCCTTTTCCCCTACAATATGACCCAGAAACACTAGTTTCTTTTTAGCGAATTGACATTTGTTTCTCCCTAACTTCAACTTTGCTTGAGATAGCTGCTAGAACACTTTTTTCAGATGTTGTAGGTGTTCGGTAAAGGTCAAAGAATATATAGTGATATCGTCCAGATAGACTAACATAAATTTTTCTTTTACATCTATGAACAAATGGTCCATCACCCTTTGAAAAGTTGCGGGGGTGTTGGTGAGTCTGAAGAGCATCATATTGAATTTGAAAAGCCCAAATTTTGTGATAAAGGCTGTCTTTTCACGGTCCTCTCACCTAACATCAATCTGCTAGTACCCACTGACCATATCCAACGTAGAAAAACACTTGGCTCCTTTCATGGCGTCAAGGATTTCATCGATCCTGGGTAAGGGATACATGTCTCGCTTAGTAATTTTATTTAACTTTCGATAGTCTATACATAGTCTCATTTTTCTATTCTTTTTCTTGACTAACACCACTGGGAACAACCATGGGCTTTTGGACGGTACTATTAACCCATATTGGAGCATCGACTGTAATTCTTGTTGGATGAATTCATGCTCCACGGGTGACATTCAGTAAGCCTTCTGATGTATGGGAGGTACGTGTTCGGTAATAAGTCATCAGCAAATTATATAAACGTAATCTTACATAAGATATTACGGCCCGTAATATTGCGCAAGAATTACGGTCTGGACATAATATTGCGCAATTTATTA